ACTATAATTGTCATATTCTCTCTATACATATATATTTGATGAAAAAAGTTCTATGCAGTTTTTATCATTAATATAGATGCAGCCTACAATGATATTGTACCTGAGATAGCCATAAAAAAGTTCAGAAAAGTTTTTAATCAAGCCTGAAATGTCGACATGGCTGATCGCTTATCAGCTATTGTCATGGCCGCCTTATATTTGCACGAAAAGGCGACTTTAAAGTTAAAATTGCTCTATATAACAATTTAAATTATAACAATCAGTCGAATGAAGCAGAAAAAATTGCCGCAATGTGCAACAGCGGTTAACATAAATGTGCGATATTTGAATTGTTTGTTTTAAACAAATGTTTTCCAAAAATAAGGTATATATATATTATCTTTACACATTTTAATTAACATGCCTCAGCTGAATAGCGGGGGTTTCTTTTATGCCTTTGTGTGTACTAAAAAGCATCAATTTAATGCAAGATCCTCCCTTTCCATCGAGTAAGGCCTGTTGTTGGAGGAAAATTAGCATATGCAGAAAGAAAGAAAGAAAGCCTGCATGAGTGCCATTGACATAATGCATCAAAACATTTGATTAGTTGGCATTTGGCAATCACATGCAAAGAACGAGGTTTAATATGCCGAAAGAACATCATCTTGCCTTCGGCATCGATCTATAATTCCTAGTTTCCATTTAGTCGTCATGAATATGTCAAGGTAGCCGATCCGTATAGACGTATAGAGTATTTCCATGCATGTGTGTGCAGTCAACAATTAATGAACGGTCTGAATACAGAATGAAGACAAATTTACTTCCGGACTATTTTTCTCATCGGTGAAAATGGCTTGTTCACAACAAGACTACTCCAAAACATTTGATAAGGTTTAAGCCGTCATGCACATACTTTGGTGGACGACGTTTTTACGTTTTTACAAAGTCGTGAGAGAAGAAGAAGAACATATTCACGTTTCTATGAACTGAAGGCCGTGTAGTTAGTTACACGTCGACCGAAAAAAATATTTTCCTATACTCTATATTGAAGATTTCAACGGATCAATATTTTTTACTTCCATCATTTTTTACTATGTTACTCTATGTGAGATGGAATGATTAAATACGGTTAAACGTATCAAATATATATATATGCTAGCTAAATACTTTTAGAAAATGCACAAAATGCAAACTATTAAGAAAAGTATTTGAGCCTATATAATTCTACATGTGCATGCCAGTGGAAAAAACGTGAAGAAACTGCTAGAATTAATATATATACAAGGTCCGGCAAATTTTTAAGGTTGTAGTTGTTCTCTGACTAGCAGTAGCAAAGTTTATTTTTAGTGTACGTGCGTACTCAGTTACAGCTACAGATACGTTGAAAGAAAATAAAAGGCCCTATATATATACAACTAAAAGTTAGTTGGATAGTGGATACACTTGTGTTCGGCTATACGGTGCGAAACCGGCCCTGAAATTAAAATTAAATACTTTAAATGTCTGGTAAACTTCGAAAAGGAAAAAAAAAACTCAATTTGATTATTATAGCATTCACTAAAAAATTAATGAGAATAGTCAAATTATTCTACTTTCTGATTCGTCCCGATGATCCAGCCTCCTAAGCAAAATATAGAAGATTAAATACCTGTTCAAAATTGTGTCAATCTGAATATAGTTTTAGTCGATTTTAACTTTTAAGGTGAAAATACGTCGGCGTTTGATTTAAATCTACCTACGACAAATGTAGCCTACAGCAACATTGTTGATAAGTCATGCATGTTCGAGTTAAAAAAACTCCAGAATGTTTTCGAAAAATCTAATCTCTTATTTATATTTGCATTTTCTCCTTGCTCTTTTTCTAAAAAGATGAAATATCAGCTCGTCAGAAATGAATATATATATCGCTATGTATTCCTTCTAAAAAATTCAAAATTAGTTAATGGAAATACAAAGTATGGAAATATGAATTAGTACTATGTGAATCATCAGTTTTCCTAAGTAGCAATAAAAGTTATAAACGGCGATAAAAGTTTTTAACCTTCAAAAGCCAAATATCGTTAAGTCTTGGGTAACGCAACAAGTAAACGCTTGTAATTATATAAAATATATTAGCAGTGCCAGTGCCAGTGGGGCACAACTGTGGCAGAATTCACAAACAATCATGTTCTTAAGCATGAATAGTAAGTATATATATATATATATATATATAATATATATATATATATATATATATATATTATATATATATATATATTATATATACACCCATTTGCAAAAACGTTGGCCGCAGATAGATATATAGATAGATACTCGAGATCTAATTAGAATTGCATATGTTGTGTAATATTATAGAAATACCATGGAAATACCATATGCAATTCTAATTAGACTTCGAGTATCTATCTATCTATCTATCTGCGGCCAACGTTTTTGCAAATGGGTGTATATATATATATATATATATATATATATATATAATATGTATATATATATATATATATATATATATATATATATATATATATATATATATATAGATATAGTTTAGAATTTATGTTCGTTTACTGTTTTATCTTTTTATTCATCAACTTTGACTGTGTATACATGGTTATTTTTACGACTTGCATGTTATTGATGATATAACAAAACTAAAATACTTGTAACAATTTGCTTGTAACAAATGTTGGTAACAAACAGAATAACCTCAACAAGAGTCGACTCGATCCGCTATTTACCGAAAGCACCAATGATTATCAGACATTCAACAAAAACTCTAAGAAATGCCTGAAGATCGTCAAAATTTACTTCCAAATTAAATAATATGAGGCAAACCTCTATATTTCGCAATCTACAAGGCCAGCCAAAACATTTCTGTTTGCCAAAAAGTTGCGAAGCATAATATATATCTCCCAACATTTCAGGAATCCATATATTATAAAACTCACGGTACTTCTTGCTATCTTCACGTTGAAAATAATCATTAACCTTTATTGTTCAGCTTCATTTATTAGCATTATATAGACAAATTCGGGTAGCCAAATATACTGCATGTATATAATTATTAAAGAATTCCACTTGCCTCAATTTGAATAATCCCAAGTGCCGCGTAGGTGGTTCTATGTGGGCATATACATACTATTTTCACAAACGATCTGAAGCAAATTGTACCAAAATCGTACAGCAGCTAGTGACTCTATACTGTCCTGATTGTTTGCCTCTTGAGATGGCATAAATAAAATTTCACGTGCTTTTTTTTTTAAATGAACGGTTGTTTATGCAACCCTGACTAATTAAGACACGTGTTAAGTACAGATATATATATAAGAGCAATATATCTCATTAAGATCAAACATCATTATCCTTGCATGCTTTCATTATCTTTAGATGGTGCATGCATGTATAATTAAAAAATCAGTTGGAAAAAATGCGATCTTACTAAGCGTGCATGATGACCTATAAATCTCGTAAAAAAGTGCACTATTGCCGTATTTGAATATATGTCATGAAAATTTAAGAAAAGACAATGCATGCATGTATATATAAGAAATTTAATATAAATCCAATGGCCTATATAGTCCTTGCTATTTTTTTTTATATTTTTGAAATCAATTAACTATACGATGCTTGTTTTGTTGAAGTGTTCTGCTAATAAGTGTGGCTTGTGGTAATTAGAACCTCAACTAACACGGGCAGGCCAGCGATTTTGAAAGTTTTATAAAATGATATTCATCTATCCTAATATATATACATTTGAATGCTCTGTGAATATCCTTACCGTAACATTTTCATTATACACTTAGGAAAAAAATTGCAATTGAAATACAAAGTCAAAGAGGAAAGCTGATGTATGTGGGCCAGAAACGAGTACATATGTCTATGACTACAATTAAGTTTATGCATGCATTTGTGCATGTGCACTGTGCATGATGTATATAGGCTTGCATGTTTCTGTTTTTCCATTATAGCATGCAACTATTTTATACGTATATATAGCTATATATTTTTCTTTTAAGAAATTGTTATTTAATGTAAAGATAATCGTCAAATTGTGCATAAATTGTGCATAGTGGCATCGAAATACTTCATGTATTTACATTTTAAAATCCCGTATAAATGAATGAGTTTCTAAACTTTTAAAAAGTATACTACAATAGTATAAGATATAAGATCAATATATGCTCAATTCGCAGTTACTATACTTCGAAACTATAGCTTCGGAGATAAATTAATAGGCTTCGCGAAAGATATAAAAAAAGGAAAAACAAAGAAAATGTGAGATGAAACAATAATTTTCAACAATCTTATATAGCATTTATAGAAAGATCGACTTGCAGGTGTTTTTTACCATTGCTTGCATGCATACATTCAAATTTATATATATATATATATATATATATATATATATATGTATATATATATATATATATATATATATATATATATATATATAAATTTGAATGTATCTCTTTTAGTAGTATTGTATTGGCAGGGAAAAATGTTTTGAAAGCTTTCAGCTACATGAGTTTTATCTGGAAAGGTCTTTTTGTTTTCGGAAGCTTTTCCAATCATTTTTCCCACTTAGTTTTTTAATTGCTTTTGAAATTATTTCTTGGACGCTGAGATAACTCGACCGAAATCAGTGAGTCGGTGGCATCTGGAAATGCTGTTGTTCGCTGCGAAATCTCCGTAAAATCGCGTTGGTAGATTTGCTTTCAGCTTGAAGTGAATCACTTTGAATGAAACTTTTTCAATGTATCCCTTTATGGGCATGAATCTATGACTGCCAAAGGGCGTCGACAAGACTGAATGCTTGTGTATATGCATGCGTCGTCATCTCCAAATCTCAAACGCTTTAATTGCCTTTTGAAACAGCCCACCTGTTCCTCCCGTTTGAACAAAACCTCCACAGTAGGTAATCAATGTAGGGCACAGAATGGGCTTTTATCTTTGTTGAATGGGAAGTGCGCAAACTTGTTAACTCCCCCTCCGCTGATCGATTCCGCGTCTATAAATTACCGCGTCAAAATCGCCGGTCGATATATTCAACTGCTTGAAGGCTTATAAGTTATAAACAATAAACACGATAACATTTAACGGCCATATAAATTAAAGTAAATATACAAATTATGACTAAAAGTTGCAGTTTTCCGTCGCTGTTAATCGTGGCCATTTTGTTGTCCGCGTACTGCATACAACATTCGGAAGCAGTCTTTGGCATCCTCACGCCTCCCGAGGGGAAAAGAGGATTTGAAAGTGATTTTTTGAGGCGAAAAATTTCGACGCTCGAAGCGATACGGCAGAAATTACAACGAAGGAATTACTTCGATGCACTGATATCGAAAATGGTAAGATTTTTAGCTATAATGTCTCCGATTATATAAGTTAAAAGCATGCAGACATGCAGACATTGAACCATAATTATATATAATATTATAGCCGGCTATGTACATTTAGATTCTAATAAAGAGAAACCTGGAAACAAATTTTAAAAATCAATGCTATGCTAAAATTTTCTATCAGGAAAGAGTTTCTTGAATTTAGTGCATCATAATGAAAATGGTTCCCATTCTCTCTGTTTGCCCAACCACGGGGGAAAACAATCCAGTTTGCCATAAGGCATAACATTAAGTAGTGAGGTTTTGAGAAATGTATGTTTCTGAGTGAACATCATCCATAATTATAGGCTACATAAATATGAAAATATAAATATAAACATAATTTAAGACCCTCAACGATGTTTATTTGAGCAATACGGCAGAACATCATATTATTATTAATTGTGACTTTTTCGCAGGAACCAATATCTGGGCCTGGCCGGAAAAACTCTGGCCATAAAGTTTAAATAAGTGCCCAAGGGCAAGGCCGAAGTCAAAACATATTGCTGACGGTTCCACTGAATTGTAAGCATGCAAAACGGTAGTTTTCCCGCACTTTTCTAAAGAAAATTGTCTACAAAGTCAGTAGGCGGAAGATTTTATCGTTCCTTTAATGACAGTTTTATCATCCCGGCGGTAATTAAATTGACTCATTCCGTTATCAAACCTTACAGTGATTGGTCGAAATGCTATAAGCCTATCGTATAGCTCGTATATACAGCTCAAACTGATGCCAATCATATTATATCATTGAAAAAAATGGACGATGAATTAATGCATGGGTATGATTAGACATGTTCGAAACTGAACTGAGGACGCATCCTACATCCTGAACTGAGGACGCATCCTACATCCTACATCCTACATCCTGTATATAGCACCTGTTGAAGCCTGTATAGCTGTAGGAGATCGGATAGCCGAAAAGTCTTGAATAATTCTTGAACTTATTTTAGCTTCTAATTCGTTTATATAATAACTATTATAAGAAAAATTCCAGTGAGGAGATTTTATCGATAGAAACAATTAATGAAACAATTACCGCCGGTAATGCCGAAGACTCGAGCGCTTACTATAGCTCCCGTTAGTATATATATACCTTTGTCTTATTATTTAATCTTTTTTACGTTTTTGTTGCAGAAACGTGACCACGGCGATAAAATAGACGTCGAAACGTCATTATTCAGACAGAAGTGAATGAAAATGCGTAGTAATTGACTGGCAAGGGAAAATATCGTAAATCCGTAATACTTTCTGTGCAAATGTACTTTTGCCGGTGTATTGTTAGCTGTTAAATTAAATATGACTTATATACCTTCGAGACTTGTGATGTCGTAGGACCCTACAAAAAATGTTCATTCCGCCAATAGTATTACATTGACCTGAAACAAAAACTACAAAAAAGTAATAAGAATAGCAATGTTAAAGATTATTATTTTGCAGGCAAATTATTGAGGCGTAAAATGTTGTATTAATATTGTGTTCCAAGGGGGGAGTATCGTCTTATTGTCTTCGAATGACGTTACTGTCCCAAAAATGAGGGAAAAGACCTTACTACTGGCCCTCCTAACGGTTGTAGGCACATCTCTCCCTCCTGATTGCGCGGGTTTGAGTTTGTACTGGCAAATCGGGCAATTTTGCTGAAATCGTCTGAGCTCCATAAAGATTTAAATTCAGCCCAAAACATTTGCCCTGTTTCAGTAGGCGGGCTTTGGTTAGAGGTGCCGAGTACTGAGTAAGGTTGGTTTTTCACGGATGGCTTAATGTAAGTGAAGACTTTAGACTTATCAGTCCCCATCCCTTCTTATATCCGCGGGTTCACACTCCAATTTTTAATTCCACATTTCCACTGCACCCAGTTAAACAACGCAGAAATTGGTCAAGTTATGAACTTTCAACCCTCTAATCACTTGTTCACAATTGTACATTTTTGTATCGCTATCAAAGAGAAAACTGTATTGAATAACTCAGTGGCGTAGCCAGCCCGAGAATTTAGTCACGCTACGCTAATATTTTGGTGCTCATTGACTTTGAAAACAAAGAATGAAACAAAAAAACGCGACAGTGGAAAACAGCTCTAAAGCCGGTTTTCCACTAGCGATATTTTTCGCGCGAAGCGACATTTTACTTTTGTTTCAGAGCTATCAACTGCAACCATCTGGAACAAATTGCTCAAATACAAAGGAATAAAGTCGCTTCGCGCGAAAAATATCGCTAGTGGAAAACTGGCTTAAGTATTGAGAATTGCCGCCAGGCCTAACCAATTTCCTACATTCCAATATTTCCTTTCGTGTGGAAACACCATTATGGAATTTCCCATAGTTCTGTTTGGTCATTACACATGGTTTCATAGTTCAGGTTTGTTTGGAAATGTATTTGTACAACTGGAGAGAATTTGTGTGAATAAGATATATATTTTAAAGTAAAAAGGCCATCTTTACAGCCATCGTTAAGTAGAGTAACGAACGAAGAAGCGAAAGGTATGTAAATCACTCTGGGTTATATCGAATTTAGTATCTGTCGACTTGCTTTTGAGGCAATTGAGGTTTTGATATTTTTATATGATTATATAAATTTCCCATCGTCAAGCAAAATCCACGACCCCAGTAACGTTTAATAATTGAGGTGCTAGATGTATGTTTATTATGCCAATGTTTGGCAAAAGAGTGAATGCACCGTATAAGGTGTGCACAATATTAAATTATGAGATCAGCAGATTATAAAACTTGCGGTTAAAGAAAGAAAACCAGTCCGGCTTGTTATTGTATAGCTTTGTAACTACGTGTGTTTGATCTCTTTTTCGTTCTTGAGCACTATAAATACAGCTAAACTACAAAAAATTTCAGCAGCGTTCTGGTGGTCGAAAGGTAATAAGCTCGCCCTGTGTGCGGATATCCTGGTCCGATCCTTGGTGTGGTCTTTATTATTTTCACTTTTTTTTATTTTTTAAGTATATTTCAATATTGAAATAATTGAATTTACAATACCTTCTGGTTATTTTGGGGGTTTATGGTGTGGGACAGGTTTATTTGTATTTGCATTTAAGAATTTCTGCACTCAGTCCCAGACTAGATAAGCTAGACAATCACAGCCCAGACATGATTCCTTTCTTAAGCGTCAAGTGATTATAAAGGCTACTATTTGTCAAATACTAGTTTGTTGTCATGGATTTCGTCTACAGTTGATGCGGTGGGCGGTCATGTCATTACCAGTATGCCTAGCTTTATCTGCTGGGTTTCCCCCCATGGGACAATTGCTTCTAGACAAGCGTGCATTTCTTCTGGAAAGGGTACAGGGGCCGGTTGTACAAAAAACGGATGGTGCTATCCACCAGATAGTGATTTTTTTCAATTGCTCCCAAATTGCCTGAAAAATATAATTCTAATTTGACCTCAGGCAGGAATCAAACCTGCAACCCTCACCTAACATGAGCAGTGGCACAGGCTTGCCCAGTCCATCTATAGGTAAGAGGTATGCCAATCTGTATGAAACACCATAAACATTTGTTACAAAATTTTGCTAAGTCAAAAAGTGAAAATAATCATCCTTTGCTTGACAGCAAGATAAAAAGATATTTCTACTGTATTGTGGCACAATGCACTAGGCCATTTAAGGCTATATCCATTGGATTTACAAAATTTATTATATAATATGCAGTGCTTTATTGGAAAGTGATAATAATACATTATTATTATGTTTGATCCAAGGATCAATTGTTGGTTTGATATTAAAACCAAAACTGGTTCGATATTATTGTCAACACTTGAAATAAACTCCATATTTTCGCACATCCATGTATTATTCTCTATTTATAGTATGGCATATCGAAGTAAGACTGAAAGAGGTCAAAAGGCAGAACAAAGACTGTTGGCTGACCCCTATGACACTGAGTCATGGAATGTTCTTTTACGAGAAGCACAGGTATGAAAAATATTTTTATTTTTTCTTATCAAGGATATAACTACAGTTGTATCAAGTCATTTTTGCAAGAAATTATCTATACCTTCTATAATCTTTAACCAATAAATTTTTAGTTAATGTAAGTATTGCAACATTTGCAAGCCCTAGATTGCAGCATTGTTGTCTTTAAAATTTTGGTAAATTTACTATGACTTTATTTTTTATCCTATTTTATTATTTCATGTTCCTAAATGTCATGTAACCTATTTTGCTGATGTAAAAACAGTCATTTCAACATTGAATTGGATTACAATGGATTCAGTATCAATTGACCCAAATGATTCAGTATAATGACTCATTTGGAAAGAACAAAACATATTGAATCAGTGAATAATACATTGGGAAGAGGCTTCATTTTCAACTCTCCTTTTCAGAGAATAACAGAATGAAACCCTCTCCCTAAAATAAATAACCTGAGGAATTTGGAAACAGCCTTGTAGAACTTTGCAATAAGATTAATATAAAAAGGAGCTACAGTAGCTGGAATGGTTATTTTTATGATTCATTTTGACTAAAAAAAACATAATTTTGCTGGCACCCCATGCTAAATACTTGAAATCCATTCAGTTTGAATTTCTCTGAAGTGTAAGAAACAGTTCTGTTGCACCCATCTTCAACAAAAAGATCTGTTGCAAAATATTTACGGATTTCTAGTTTAAATATGTTAAAGAGGAATGAGGAAATTTCTAAACTGGTGCTAGCTTTTAAGATCTCAATTTCTTCTTTTTCAATTCTAGTCTTTGCCCATTGCCAATGGAAGGCTGGTTTATGAGAGACTTGTTGACCGATTTCCCACGTGTGGCCGCTATTGGAGATTATACATCGAGCAAGAGGTTTTTGATATTTAAAATATTTTATACAGTGTTCATACCCTTATCTGTTCCATATTAAAGTGTGCCCAAATTTTTGCAGGAGTGATTTTTACCACCTTGCTGGTATGGCCCTAAATGTGGTGTGGCAAATGCCATTGGGTTGTGGCATTGAAAAGTGCCAACGGTTCAGTTGCTTGTACGCATGCGCAAGCCTAGCCAGTTGCGTCCTGATGACTAACATAATACTTCCTTTAAGTAAACATGAAGTCAAAAGATTCGCTAATGTTCTAGAATAAAGCACAATTTGTGCCAAATGTTGGTGTTTTGTTGCCTGTATCTAAAATACTGGTAAATGCAATACTGAATCTGCAATTTGCAAAACAACTTGCTGTATGGTCTGGTTAATGTGTTTTGTGTTTTCTTTTGTCCTATACAGTGTTTAGTATTGGCGTGCGTAGGTTAATTTAGCTACGCATTTTTGTCTGGCATGAATTAAAAGTGGTCCGCAAATGTTATTTTCGAGTAAGCTAGTGGAGGCCCAGAGTTCAAGTGCAGGGTTCTTGTCAGAATTGGCCCAGTGTCGTGCATTCTCTCGCGAAAAACACGCTTTATGTATTTTGCTGAAAGAAACATCTAAATCACCATGGGCGTCTCGTTAGTTCTAAAGAACTGTCAATGTCAGCCCTTATAGCGACTTTAAGATTTCCCTATGAAATTATAGAGAGTGTAATCTATACAGTAATCGTGGAGTTTTCTAACAGTAGGAACGGGGTTATAGAGTTGGTTTGTCGTGTCACAGTTTGAAGTCAAAGGGTAGTTGTGTATGAAATAATATGAGTAGTATTATATCAAAGCTCTAAACTATATGAGAGGTTGGCTTTCCAACCAACCAGTGCAAAGCAAGATGAAATCATTTATACACATTTACATATTCTTTACATGTTGCTCTTTTTGCGGAAACTTACTTTTGAAATAGGACACGAAAATGATAGATACGTGTACACAACCAGATAAAAACTGTACTAACATATACTGTACCACTATATATATGGTGCAAAGACGACGTATTTCCTAATAAGATAATGGTTTTTTTACTCTATATATATATAGGAAAAACGTATATAAGAACGTCTTTTTTACGCTGTTTTAACGTTTCAAAGATAGTATTGCTGTTGTATATTCTAGCGCTCGTTACTGTAACATGCATTCAGTATAAAGATGTATACCTGGCGGGATTTTCCTTAATGTCTTCACTTCCGAATCTTACATATATTAGTGTTTTACTTACGGGTCGCGCTTATTGTTCTATAGCCACGTTACCTAGCAGCAAACAAGTAGGAAAAAACCAGCAAGATTTACATGTGCATGAATGGAAGACATATTATAAAAAGATGTTTTCAAATGAAAGACAGACCGTCTTATGTCAAATCTAAAAAGATAGGGTGAATTATGTTTTACATTATTAATACTTACAACCGCCTATTTGTCTATATACCTGCTAAAAAAGATAGCTTCCTTTGAGTATATTTGCTAGCTGTTCTTATACTTTGGTTTCGTCTGATGATTTGTGTTGGCACCATACTCTTTTGTTAATTCGTTTTTTATACTCGTTGAACTTCCGCGATGGGAACTTCAGCCAAACCGAATAGACCTTACCGATAATTCCCCCTTACCTGAGCGTAGCTCGTTTCCATATTAATTTATTCCAGATAAACATATTATCATGCTTCTTTGAACGAGTTTGCTTCCTCTAAATCTTCACCATTGAAACCGTTGAACTCAGTTCTATCCAAAAACGAATACATATCCCCTTGATTAAGCTTAACTCTTTGATTTCTACACGTTTCTAACACTCAGAGTTGCAAAAAGAGTTCTTCCTTCCTCCGGTAGGATTTTAAGTTTTGAAAACCTTCCTCAAGATGACGTTACGTCACTGAGTCAAGTGGCAACCAGCATAAAGAAATATTTGGGGTTTTTTTACACGCATATGATCAATTAGAGCGTTCAGCTTTGAACCTTCTTCACGAACCTCATTCAAAGCAAATCTTCCCCCGGGTGGCACCCGCGTACCCGCAGCTTTTTTGCAACTCTGTAGAAACTCCATGCAAACAAATGGGTTCTTGGTCCGGGTAACAACACTAGACACGGGTACCAATTTTAGTTGTGCCAATGTACCGTGCCTACAAATTGAGTGTAGTGTAAACTGGGTTTATATCATCTTATTTTCATATTGAGGAACAGAGGAAGTCGCTAAAAGGCAAAGCCTTCAGGAAATATTTGCATCCCTTCGGAGATGAAATATTTTGCTGAAAACCCGAGCGGTGGATGAACGAAAAACATTGCATGCCTGCTAAGTGATATTTAAATAGCAATTGAAAGCAGAAATTTAAAATACGTTTAATTTTTAAAATGCGAAAAGAACATGCTTAGGCTTCGATCTTTCTCAGGCAATTGTGGGTGAACTTCTTTAAAAAGGATATTACATTAGCATCATTGCGGCAAAATGCCCTTCGGGTTCGCCTTTTTTGAAATATTTTAGTAATTGTAAGTGTTAGTCCGAAACAATAGCTTGTATAATTTATGACAAAGCCAAAGGCGCCGGAGATTATTTTAGTACGGAGAAACCGCGCGTGTTAAAATATTGCGTGCTGGGTTTTGGCCGTGAAGTTTTCGGTTATCGCCTTATGTCCTTAAAGCCCGCCGCACACGAGAGCTATTAGGTGAGCTAAAGACCTCGCGAGGCTGTTAGCTCAGCAAGTTACTCTTGTTTGCTGATAGTTTTTCCGGTTTTTCGTGAGAATTTGGTTTTGGGGAAAGCTATCTGCCTCGCGAGGTCGTTAGCTTATACCAAAGTTGCCCTTACTCTTCCCCGTAAGGTCGAAGGTACAACAATCAGTGACTGACTATAGTCCCCGCACATGCAAAGGTGAAAATAGGCAATTGAAAATTGCAACTGGATGAGATGATTGAGCATAGATTGACACGTCGTCACGACATTTTTGGAGCCAAGTATTGCCCAGTCCTGTTTTCAACGACCAGGAGCAGATGGGGTAATTTGAAATTTCTGACGTACACGTCCAAAAATTGATTGGGTCGTCGCATCAGGAGTGAACAATTTTGTTCTGCGCCCCATGAACAGTATAACAATGTTGTTGAACCTTGTTGAATCATCAATGTTGTTGCAACAGTACTGGACTCTTCCCCGTAGGTGTAAAGGTACAACAATCAGTAATCGGTAGTAACAATTATAAATACACAGTATATACCAACATTATCCACTTACTTGAAGTGTACACGCTTTTTAATTAGACAATATACATGCAAAACTTTGAGAATCTGTTTTATCGCTTTGAAAACAATGAACAGACGAGTGAGACGACGTGAAATTATCGCAAGCAAGTTCAGCGGAATTATATTTTTACCGACCAATGTCGCATTTAAACACGACCCCCCCCCCCCCCACCGTACGCTACACTACGCCCCTGGTCTGAAGATTCTGAAAGAAGTCTTTTTTGCAATATGCTTATTATACATAAGATAGAGGAGTAGTTGAATCTCGCATTATTCCAACCAGTTCTGTGCAGTTACCGTCTGTTCATATATTTTAGGCCCCGTGTAAGATCCCCGTAACGTTCACTGTCAATCACACCGCGTAAAATTCCGTTTTAATGTTGGTAGAATAAAAAATGTTTACCTAATCTGACATGTGCCTAAACGTTTGCGAACCGTTGCTCCTGTAAGCACTCTTCGCAGTCCGTGGTTATAGTCCCTGAGGGTTATTATATACTATTATGCCGTAAATCGATGGTATTTTTTCATTTTGAGTCCTTAATCGAACGTGTAATTGCCATTTTTGTAGATGAAAAGCAAAAATTACGACAAAATTGAACAGGTAGGTGGTATTCAGAACGGATGCTTTTATTCTGAATTTGTCTCCCAATACGTTTTGAAAATGTGATTGAACAAATATATTGAACTTCTTCACTTGAAGTGTTTCAGTTGATTTGCAAAACAAAATTTAATTCTTTGGAGTTATAGCAAACGAGTTATTGGGGTTCAGGCGACTTAAATTTCGTTTTGTTCAAAAGTGTATTCCTTCTAATTTGAACATGGACATTCTCCACTGATTCCAAATTTGTCGTTTCCAGCAAATTCAAAATACGATTTAATTAACTTTCTTCAATGAATGAGCTTTTAAAACTATTTAAAAAACGTATTTTGCCGTTTTCCGTATCACTCCATATATGCCTGTATCCGTGGAGCACACTCGAGTATGACTGAACTTTCCTCTAAATTGCCAAGGTCTGGGGGTTAAAGCAATCAAAAACTGAATCCCAATTCCCAAATATAGAGTCTCGTACTCGATGAGTTTGGGTGTGGGTGGGCTATTAGGGCATATGCTATTAACGCATACAGGCGTTAGTTTACGGTCTATATCATTCCAAATACTCTTTGGCTAAAGAGTCACTGTTATTCTTAATAACGATATAATAAAAAATATTTATTACATATGGGCGAACTTTGTGACAAACTGAAGCATGGACTTTCTGATATTAAGATTTGAAATACGTTATCAAATTGCTTTGAATGTCTACCAAAATTGTGTGGTACAATTTACGCGCATAAATCGTTTCAGAACCACGTGAAATATTACTACGACATCGCTGCTTAAACCTGGTTTTCATTAATCGCCGACAGTCGGCGATGTATGATTGGGGCCGGGTGACGAAGAGAACAAATTAACAAAACTTAATTCTCCGGTGATCACCGGCAATAGCCATCGCCGACTCACGGTGACTTATGAGCACCAGGCTTTAAGCTTTTTTGTTACATAAAACGAAGCTTTAAACTGATTTTTGGATGTGCATCAAGCGCTAAGAATGGAAAAATGTAACATGTTGTGTATAAGTTAGGTTTTGTTTTGATTTCCCACTGGTAATTCAATAGTTCAAAGTTAAACTCCTATATTTTACGTATTTGTTTAGTTGTTTCAAAGATGCCTGATGAAAGTTTTGAATGTTGATTTATGGAAATCTTACCTGCACTATGTGAAAGAGACTAAGGGTTCTTTGCCCTCATTTAGGTACAAATACCTCAAAATACATTCGTTAAAATGCGTTAAAATTCCTTGATGTATACACCGGATTCCTGTCCAAAATTGTTTGAAATCTAGATCTTTCAAAATGAAAAGATCATATAAGTTAAGTAACCTCGTAGATTGGAAAAATTCTAGAAAGGTCTAGATTTCAGAAAGTTTTTGACTCATTCAGCTTTAGTATTGGTTAGAATGTTCAAATGACTATAAAAATGTTCAATAAGGTTGTAATAAGGCACTGTAGATATCCTGTAGATGTCAGTTATGGAGGTGACCAAAACTTACATCAGGACGTTGGAGGCATCTCTTGCCTCCTACTACTTGATGTAAAGGCTGTCTAAGGGTGGGCTTTAAAAAAGGCTTCCCTGCATTTGAGATGCTGTTTAAATATAGTGGATAGTTTGTTTCTCCTACCAGTTTAAAGTTGCTTTCTGCTCTCGGTTAATGAGAGTCATAGATAATAACGGTTGCAAAAGCTAAAGACAAAACTTTTACCTCGTGCAGGGACAAAATGACGCAAGCTTTTGAATTTGCCCTGGACAAAGTTGGATTGGATTTTAATTCATATCAGGTACCATAATTTTTCAATGTTTAGAAGAGTTGAAACGATATTAAGTTGGTGTACATTTAAAGTTTTAAACTCACCCTTACTATCAAACTTCACTCTTATATACTATTTAGTCCCTAATTGTTCTCGTCGCTGCATGGTTACCTATTTATTGTTATTTTTCAAATTTAAAACATCACTATAGACCTGTGTGAGTGAACTATGTTTAGAATTAGCCCTTGGGCTAACAATTTGGCTATTATTGGCCTAAATCTGACCCAAAAATATTAACTCAATGCCAAATACCTCAATCTTACCCACACAAACTACTTTGTTCCACGGTATTGCGTGCATGCATGATTGACAATCGTAAAGACAAATACGCTAAATTTGAAACACAAATAATCCCGTGATTTGCGACTAAACTGACTATATACGACTAAATAAAAAGTATAGACACGTTCCAATTAATAACCAGGGCAGGGAGCAGCGTGGCAGCGTCTTCAAATAACTTGGCCCCGGGCCCCAACCTGAAGGGGCCTCCGACTTAAGAAAGAAACTAAAATTAAAGCACCTTAAAAAATGTTGGGCTCGGTGCATGTATTAATCGCACACTAGTCGAAAGTACGAGCGACAGTCATTGTTATTTAACTTCTGAGATGCGTTGATATTGTTTGTAACTTTTTCACATCGCTTTGAAGTATACTTTATACCTCGCAGATATTTAAAACCTGACGTCATAGGGCCACAGAAAAAAATTTTGCCCCGGGCCCCCAAATTTTTCTCGGCGGCCCTGCCTTAGGGACATCAATGAAAACATGGATCCATGATGCCTAACTTGCCTGTCAATTAGATATGGCATGGCGTTATACAGCCCATTTTGTATATTTCAGGGGTAAAGTGGTGTGGTATCATTGATCTTTAAGTTTCATGCAGCTCTTGCTTCTTGGGAGACATCTCCAAAAGCTTAACCCATGTACAGTCACCGACAACACGATTAGATAATGTCAATTATTAATTGAAAATGAGAGTACGAATGTTTGATCCCCGAAATATTGAGATGAACTAAGCTTCTTAGCCAGGTATTCCAGAAGGTAAACGGTTCTGGAACAAAGAGGATATTACGCGTCAGTGCCACCGAAAAGCCGCCGGCGGCATAGGAAAATGTAGAGTTGTTTTTCAACATTGTCGCTGGATGATTACATCACTGCATGTGCTGGTTTCTAAGGCAGTCATTTTGGGGGGCGCTTAACTCGGATTACTACAATGATCCCGTTAAACCACATGTGCATGGCATGCACACAGATTGTGCGATTATTTGCTCTCCAAGATTATCTAAAGTGTTACATTTTTTTTGTCTTTACCTAACAGATTTGGTCTGACTACATTACGTTTCTGAAAGCAGGGTAAGTTTGTAAACACCTGTTTATCAAGTAATGTATTGCCAATTGCCGTCTGATTTTTAGGGAAGGGGATTTGTGGAAGCATTGCTGCGCGTTATATAGTATGTGCATGGGATAATGTGGAAGAGACCGGTATTTGTCTTGCCTCTTTCTAAAGATCTTGCTATATGCACGGTGCAATTTTTCATTCAGGTGCTCTTCTCTTCCCAAACTTCAGCGAAAATATAGTTGTTGTATATCATCACATGCATGACAAATATTGTATATATTATACAACATATTTCAAAAATGGTAACGCCAATAATTGTATACGCTGACATTAATATATATATACTTTTTGTGAACGAATTTTCTTGTTTTACGTATATAGCCATAGAGCCCACAGTAGGAATTTTTTTGTTATCATATAACGCCTCGGGAAATTTATTTCAGAGTGTCGCAATTTATAGGTGATTGCATACAAGTACATTTTGCTAATAATTTCGTAAGTAAAATTGTAGTGTATTTAAGTAAAATTTGCCAACATGCAGAGTCTGCAGTCAATTAAACTAAGAATTTTGTTTAAAACACTAGTCGTCCATTTGTTTTGTTATAGTTGTTGAGAAGATCTTGTTTTGCTATACATGCTCCAGCAGTTTCACCTGTTTTGTAATTTCTTAGTGTCCGATAATTCGCTGCTTCCACATCTTTATCATCTTTATTCCCTCTTTGCGTGATACTCTGTTTTTCCAGAAAAAGATTAGGCTGTCGAATGTTGAATTCGTGATGCATATAGTGACTGCCCAAAGATGAGATACCTTTACTTTGCCAGGCGACCATTTGTTGGCGAAACCGATTGCAACGCAGAAAACGGCTAGCGTAAATAACAACGCAACACAGAGTGCTATTAGCAGACAAGACGAAATACCCTTTATACTCCTTCGTCTTGACGTGTCATGTGATATTCTGTTTTTCCTATCCCTTGAAATCTTATACAGTTTGTAATTAGTGAACATTAACGGTGGAAAAACGAAGATCGTAAAGATCATTAAGGCCGTTGAAAAAGAGATCACCATTTCGTTTGTTGAAATTATCACAACGGTAATCGGCAGGACAATTAGGAATGCGAGGAGGGTTAATAGTCTGCTTCGAGTTACCGATGTTTGATGTATGAAAGGATGGTACAGTCCGAGATAGCGTTCAATGTGCATCACTAAAAGAGCGAGCAAAGGAAAGCTAAGGAACATATTGCTTAGATGGTTGTATACTTTCGTCCTAGCTAGGAGATCATATTCGCCGTTCAACCGCAATACTAGCTGAAGCACCAGTAATGGCTGTTTTATTACGATTACCACCAAATCGAGACACGACAACAGAACGACCGTAAAATTGCATAATTTTTTTCGTTGTTGTGAGGACTTTAACAAACAGATTATAACCAGCCCGTTTGAAACCAACCCGGTGACAGCGAATGCAAAATTCACGAGGTACAAAAATAATAGTTGGATGTACACGTTTAAATCCATTGAATTATTTTGAATATTGGGGAAATTTCGACTGGAATATCTTGACAAATGTACATGTAGCTTGCCTGCAAACTTCACGATAATGCAGCTGTTATATAAGTTTTCTATGCAGTATACTGACCAATAGAAATTATGCATATATGCATGGTTTTTTAGTCCTAGGTAAATAATAATCCCTATTAGACTGAATGCTCGTTTTTTGGCTCATTTTTCAACTTACTTCATTTTCGCCGTCAATCGTAAATGCTAAAGAATAAAAGTAAGAATCACGAACATTCCTTAAAAAAGAGGTTACCTATTTATATAGCTATATTATTAAATATAGCGACAATTTTTAGACCTACATTCATGACTTGCATTATATATATTTATGTTTTCTTTCTTTTCTAACCATTGCTATTGTATACGTTGATGTAAATGTTATGTATGTATCTTATCGATCTACATATAAATATCTCTTTCAGGGAAGTCAGCGGCTCGTACGCCGAGAATCAGAAAATTATGACACTTCGTAAAGTGTATCAAGTATGTTTCAAGGAATACGATGCTGTTTTTTAATTCTGCACGTATTATGGCAATGTTTATATGCGTAATATTTGCTTTAAAAGTGCGCAGATCTTTTGTGTGACAGGTTTACTGTTTGTCATTGTAGAGAGCGGTTTTCACACCCATCAATAACTTGGAAGCATTGTGGAGAGAATATACTGCATTTGAACAGGTGCTATATAGTTCACTGTTATTTTTATTAAAATCCATTATCGCAGGGGGTTAAGTAATAACAAAACTTTTATCTTAATTACTCGTCGAAATGCCTTCTTCCTGCAAACATTTTAGAGCAACATCAGTTTCTCGTGAAACTTTGCATTAATCTGGGCGTTGCGAAAATTCAAGTCGGTCATTGATTCAGCCATCTTATTGCATTCATTCAATCTCACTGTATAAATTTTTTCAGGAGATTGAAACAATTTTTATATTTTACACGCAGTTGCATGCCTAACTAACATTATTTTGTAATTCTAAACCGTATTGATCACATTGGATCAATATACATAAGTGTTAGCATAAATATTTGTAGGCAACGTTGCCAAGCACATGCGGAACGCGCTCATGGGAAGGAAATCCAAGTTCCGACTGTAAAAACACCTTCATATAGCGGAGGCAAAATCACCAATACAAACTACCAAGGCGCAAAGAGAATTGAGAGTTTTAAAACGAGTTTGCCATTTATAAGCATACTTTGTTCACAAACTTGGTCAACTTTGTGTCATTGTTTTCAAGTTGATTGTGTTCTTTGGTGAGGCATGGAGTGCATTTTTCGAATCCTCGGCGACAATATACGTGTGTCTTTTTCGTTTCGTTGTATGTTTTTGGTATTTTGTTATTTAGAACGTTAATAAAGTTTTGGCAAAAAAGTTGGTGGATGAGAAAACGCGGGACTATATGAACGCGCGACGAACTGCAAAGGCAAGTACTATATAATTCCTACTACTTTTTATGTCATGCGTTAGCAATATATTTAAATAGCAATTCTTACCGCATGCATGCACTATAGCTACTTTTTATACGACATGTGATAAAGAGCTATATATTGGAATATTAATTTCTACCACATGCACTATATACTTATTATGTCATGTGATGCAAAGCTATATATCTAAACAGTAATTTCTAAAGCATGCAGTAGCTACTTATGTCTTGTCATGGAGAGCTGTATATCTAAATAGTAATTTATAGAGCATGCAGTATTTATTGTGTCGTATACGTGATGCGAATTAAGCTATATATATTTAGATAATTTCTACAACTTATTATGCCATGCATGCGAAGCTATATATTTAAATAGTACTTCCTGCATACGCATTACCTATTATGTCATGTAATCAACATCTTTAACAATTACTGTGGTCATGTATAACGTGCCCAACGAAAAGTCTACCTATATTTTTTCCATGATTGTATAAGAAGGTACAAAATCTGACCGGACCTTAAACGCTGAAAGATGCATGCATGTGTCATTATTGTACCGTAGGAAGTTCAGCAGTCAGCGCTTATACAACATGAACGAACCACCGTTTAACATGTTCTATAACCAATTACGCGAAAATGTGTGGCATAAAATTTCTAAGATTCCGATTGATTTCAGAAACATGCAGACAAAGCATGCAGTCATTATCTTTCCAATCTTATTGCATTTAATACAGTGTATATCAGTGTTACCATGTAGTAATGTATACGGGAGATTATATTACCCAGTCTGTCTTTGTTAGCTTTTTTCTATTTACCTCTGTACAGGGTGTCCCAAAAAAATGTCCCCTCTATTGAAATCAAGCCTTTGTTCGAATCTGATTGCCTTAATATTATGATAAACCCAATTGAAAGCAAGACGCTTTATTTGAATGCCTCAACCTAATAAATATGCTATTTATACACACTACTGCGTTGATCATGCATTCAAATTCCAACAAAAGCTTCATTTCAATAGCGGGGACTTTTTTTTGGGACACCCTGTATATATATATATATATATATATATATATTAATATATATATATATATATATATATATCTTTTTTTCAGGAATATGAAGCAATAACGAGGAACATCGTACGCGGGAATCCTTCTGTTCCTCCCCAAGGAACAGCAGCTGAACTTAAGCAGGTAATGTGATTGTAACTGAATCCATGCATGGTGCTATATAAAGAATGTAGCTACAAGATCGTTGTGGGCTTTGTGAATTTATGCAGTATACCACCTGGGTTTTCAGAAGCAGGTAGCCAAACCTACGTTATGGTATTCCTAATATATAACTATATTATATATATATAACTAAACCTGTATACCTTATAACCACAACTACATTTTATAACACCGTATATACTGTAGACATGATAACCACATGCAGGTAACTTGTATATTCGCAATATATTATACCTACGTGCAAAAATTCGCAATGAAAAACCCTGTCACACACTTAATCACACTTACACTGACTTAGCTACGTACCTTGCACTTCTATACCTATTATAAACACCCATGCATATCTTGTATACGTTTTCCCAATAACCGAACCTATGAATTTTTGTACCTAGTCCCACACATGCATAATGACCTACATGCCATGCATCCCCTTGTATCCAATTACCATACATTACTTTAATAATTCCATTTTCATCGCAGCTTCAGTTGTGGAATAAATATCTTCAATGGGAAAGAAGCAATCCATTAAAGACCGAAGATCACAATACCCTGGCCAAACGAGGTATATATAAAAACTTGAAAATGATTCCACTAAAAACCCTGAAGTACTTTGTGAAAGCAGCACCCGAAAATGTTTGGTTATCGTCAATATATCACACCTCGACAGTCTATTTTTACGACATTCTCATTAAATAATGTGCTGCCATTCTTTTTATAGTGATGTACGCGTACGAACAGGCTTTATTAGCATTAGGTTTCTATCCAAATATCTGGTATCAGGCTGCGTTATTTTTGGAGGACAGAAGTAAACAGCTGTTTGAAAAAGGGGTCAGTACCGTAATTCTTTTTTCATTTTTTAAAAATTAATTCCAAGCAGCTATTTTATCAACTTTCTTTTGTATTCGTCCTGTTGTGTATACCTATTTATAATATAACATTTATAGTACGCGCGTGCTGATTGGTCGTGAAGCGTGTTTCTATTTAACAATTAGACAACGAGTCCGAGTTGTCTATTCGCTCATAGACAACGAAGGCGAGTTGTCTAATTGTTTTAGTATACACCCTGTACCTAGATATATTAATTTCGAGAAAATAATCGATACACCGCAATTACACCGAAAAATAATTTAATGAATTCAATTTTATACGGTCGCGCGAGCGAATTTTTCCCAAACGTTCACCATCACGAATAGACAATAGTTGAATAGCCAATCAGAATGTAGGATTTGTAATAGACAATAGTCAGGCTTCGCCTTCGTTGACTATTCGCTCATAGACAACTCGGACTCGTTGTCTAATTGTTAAATAGAAACATGCATGGGAATTTTCCCGCCGAATTTAACAAGCGAAGTAATGTAATGAGAAGTTGTAATTTTAATTAGAATAGTTAATTAGTTTAAATTAGTTTTAATTAGAATGTCAGTAAATTTTACATTTTCAAACTCGAGCTTTTCAGTACGAGTTTTTTTGTTAATTTCGTACTCGAGAGCCCAACGGCTACGAGTTTTGTCATGCGGATAACGCAGGCAAAAGCACCGAACTTGGCGCGAAAATGACGAATCTTGTACTCGTAGTCATATACTCGTAGTCACTATAGGGAGATTTAGCAGCGACTACGAGTATGAGATTCGTCATTCTCGCGTGTTGTTTGCTTATACGCTATCATTTTGTTGGCAAATATCGTACTCGAAAGCCCAACGACTATACGAGTTTTGGTTGATGGCGTAAGCAAACAACTTGCGAGAATGACGAATCTCGTACTCGTACTCGCTCTAAAACTCCCTACTGCTAAACCTCTCTGATGTCACAGAGGAGATATGGATATCCATATCCACATCCATAACTCTTCTGTGCCGATGTTGTATAGACGAGTGCTTCGCGAGGGCGAGAGTATATAGCTCAATTAAATCCTGAAAGTGAGAATGAAATCTCACTCAAAGAAACAATATAGAAAGTCTCACTCCCGGAATTTTCTTTGTGGCTTTAGGATCAGCAGAACGGAAAAACAATGGCGGATGAAGCAAGTGCTATTTATGAGAGAGCAACATCTAGTCAGCTGAAGTATAATGTCATGTTACATTTTGCTTGGGCTGATTTTTTAGAGGTATAAGATCAATCATCCTATTTCCAAAAAAGATCGGATCTTCTCTTGGGGAAATCGAGGAGGTAGCTGCAGCCCTTCTATAGAAAAAAATGCTATTTTGAAACTAGATAAGATTATGAGAAAAAGGATGCTGAGGTTAAATGAAAATTACGCTGTTTTCTCACTTTTTCGTAGTAAGCACAAAAATAACACACAAGGCTCAATCCCGCTGATTAACTTTTGCCAAAGGCCTGTATATAGACCTCTTCAAAAACACGTTCCTGCACTAAATTGCTTGTTAAATCGTAGTTGGCTCCAAAATACACGATACTGGCTCGCTAATCCTGTCACCAACTGTAGTCTAAAGCTAATTACTATAGTACTTCCCATGCATGACTTTGGAAATTGGAATATTGACACAATTAAAGTGCATCATGTACATGCGTATCGTAAATTTGAATAAAAAAACGTAGACTGTGCAAATTCTCGGGCGATTATAACTATATGACTACACGTTATATTTAAGCTATTAATACCTTGCAGAGTCGTATGAAAGCAGATAAAGCCAAAGAGGTTTACGATAAATTGTTGGAAACTCCAAACATCGATCCAACTTTAGTAAGTTCTTTCTGAAAGTTTGTCATGTCAAATATAACTAAATACCTGAATATGAATCACGGAATTTCACTTTTTGCTTTAGCGCGTGCGTGGTTTTTGCGAGTTGTCAAATTGGCAAGCAAGACCATATTCAGAATGGTATATCAGCGTGTTGTATAGAACAAGCGAGATAGCATCGCAGTTATTTATAATCCTGAAAACTGTTTACTGAACAGCACCGTTTCTAATTCTGAATATGACTAAAGCGAAATCTTGCCCTTTTGATCGGCCACGCGGTAGAATGACATTGCGTCACTGACACTGCATGTAAATATAATTTTGTACATACAAAAAAATTTCCGCTGAGCGAAATGAGCATCCTAGAGCAGAAATCGACGCCTTTAGTTTAAGGCAAGTGCTTTTTCTCGATGAAACATGCATTATGTTTACAGTATTATACCGTGATTTGCGCAGTGAAAATCAGGCTGTAGCGAGATTTGAGAGGAAATTAAACGTTTTGAAAGGAAAAGATGAATAAGAGGGTTTTTTAAAAGAACAACCGCTTCATATGAGGAAAATTTGGTTTTAAGATTAAAATTCATGACGAAAGCTTTTGTTCGAGGCGTGTTCATTTGGTCATGCGTCCACTATATATATGTGCAATTTTCCTCGATGATATTGATTGTCAAAACCTTCAATGTCATTTGCATGGGGGTTTTTCAAGTGCGAGGGTTTGCATATGTGTGTACATATGACTCTCACCCCTTTGGATATTTTTTTACCTATTAGGTCTACATTCAGTATATGAAGTTTTCACGAAGAGCAGAGGGAATAAAAGAAAGCCGTGCAGTGTTCAAGCGTTCTCGTGAAGACAGCCGAAGTTCACATCATGTACGTACAGATGCCAAGAGCCTATATATATATATAATATTATATATATATATATATATATATATTAATATATATATATATATATATATATACATTTGATCACTGAAGAGCTATAAGAGAGCGAAAACGTTTGTGAATATATATATATATATATATATATATATATATATATATATATATATATATATATATATATATATATATATTTATATATATATATATTTATATATATATATATATTTCCGCGATATATATATATATATATATATATATATATATATATATATATATATATATATATATATATATACACCCATTTGCAAAAACGTTGGCCGCAGATAGATAGATAGATAGATACTCGAAGTCTAATTAGAATTGCATATGAATACATTTGCATGGGATTTCAATCATATTACACAACATATGCAATTCTAATTAGATTTCGGGTATCTATCTATATATCTATCTGCGGCCAACGTTTTTGCAAACGGGTGTATATATATATATATATATATATATATATATATATATATATATATATATATACACCCATTTGCAAAAACGTTGGCCGCAGATAGATAGATAGATAGATAATCGAAATCTAATTATAGAATTGCATATGGTTACATTTGAATGGGAATTCAGTCCTTTTACACAACATATGCAATTCTAATTAGATTTGGGGTATCTATCTATATATCTATCTGCGGCCAACGTTTTTGCAAACGGGTATATATATATATATATATTGCAGAAATATATAAAAAATGCTTGGGAGCCACCTGAAAATACTTGCGTTTGATCTTATACCTATTTTTTTAAGGTTTTTGTCGCTGCGGCCTTGATGGAATACTATATAACCAAGGTTTGTTAACATGAAAATATTCCTCTGTAACAAACATGATTTAAGCTAAGCGTGTTACCTGCATGAGATATAGTCTATATATCTTTGCTTTCATTTCCTGAATATAATGTTCATATGCATGGGTACATTGTCTTGTTAACCCTATAAAGACCGTTACACACATGACCCAATTAATTAACATGTGAGACTTGTATAGCTGGCCTACTGGGATGGAATCCTTCTTGAAAGAAATTAAAATTAGCAAAAAAAAAGTGGGGGAAAAGAAAAAACCCATATACTATTAAAAACCCATATCCTACCAAGAATTACGTCTTCGTTTAATCATTTCAATATCCCGTATAACCTATTTCCATTTGCTTGCAAATTTGGTCTGTATGTAGCGGCATATTTGTTGGATGACACTCGATGACTTAACTGCCTTATGCAGTCATTATTACTTTCTCCACAATTACGATTATACATTTTAATGTTCATTTGTTGATGGCATGAAATAATATTCCACGCACGCTTAGTTTACGTACCTAATTAGCTACAAACTGTATGTCACGAGTTTTATTCATAAAATAGCCTACCTCAAATTAAACGATTTAATTATATTCTCGAACTACAAAAGTAAGTTCGACAAATAATTTAACGTCGTGCCTGTCCGGTTGAACTATAATTGTTCTAGGCATGCAAATTAACTATCAAAACTCGTTTTTTTTTAGGATAAGAACGTGTCCATGAAGATTTTCGAACTGGGTCTAAAGGTATGGAATTTCGGTGTAGATCTTTTTGAGATGCTTAATACATCATTTACTTTACTTATATATAAGGATTGCATATATATACATGCATGCACCACCGGATGTTTATCTGAGATATTAAAACCAACTGACCAGGAATATATGCACGAGCCACGTGCAAAACATCCTTCTTCAACACATGCATGAAAAAGATTTTTTGTTTTGACCAATAAATGTGGGAATAAGCCATAACACGAGAGCGAGGCTGAGGGGCCAAGACTGCGAGCCTCTTTCCCGCGTTATGGCTTATTTCCATACTTATTAGTCAAAATGAAAAATTATTTTTCATGAAGGGTTAAAGAAGGATGTTTTGCATCTTTGCACATAGCTTGTGAGAGTAAAACTTGAAATCCATCTCATTTAAGGTGGTTCTAAATTTAAAACGATAATTGCGCGATTCTAGCTAATTCATCTAATATAACTAATATAAAAGCATCATTAATGCATAAGTGATGCCTGCGGAGGAGGCTACTGCCAGTCGTATCGCGGGCGATATTTTCAAAATATTGCATAGATTTTACATTTTTATACAGAGGGTTGTATGAATGTTGATTATCTATATTTTTTTTGTAATTTACAGAAATTTTCATCCGAACCAAAATACATTTTGGCATACTTAGAATTTTTAATTCACTTGAACGGTAAGTCGAAAAGGTTGACCATGCTCACTTGTTATTTGTATTCAGGACACGAAATATTTTATATTACTGGGAAACAAATGCATGTGTGTCAGAATTTACATATTGATGATGATTGATGATATATATATATATGTATATATATATAATATATATAATATATATATTAATATATATATATATATACAGGCAGAGGGTAATAACTGCATATATTCCAGTCTTTCCAGGCAATAGGAATGGATTTCTTCCATTTGCTGTATTTAGTGTTACCATCATAAAAAAAGAATCACTTTTATTATATATGAACATGAACATTAAAGTAAAATAAATTTTACTTATCTAAGGATGTATTTTAAGTGTTTTCGTTTGTATTCCCAACGTTAATTTGTTTTATATACGAACCAAAGACATTTGCATTTTCACAACAACAACAACAATGAAAATGGCAGGAGAACTTTTGAAACTCGTTATGTTACTCCTAAACGTTACATACGAAAAATATCCGCACTGCACCCCGGATGTAGTGGCTTATGAGTTCTAGTGTTTTTGTTCTCAGTAAAATACCCCCATCCATATAATAAAGAGTTTCATTATATGTGTATAGAGATTATGCACAAAAGAATTGTAACGATCTGACGTCATGGTTTATGTGACGTCACTTGTATATAGTTGTATGCCACTTTATATTAAAATCATTATCATAGCAACCACTTACGAGAGCGTGTCTATTATTACCCTTCGCTAAAGATATTACATTGGCGACGAGGATCGGATAAATTTACTTGCGTTATGGCTTCCACACTACTACTATTTCTTTCGTTCAACGTCGAAGACGACTCCACCGCAACCGGTCAACGCTGGACCAAATGGGAAAAGCGTTTCGAAAATTTTATGCTTGCCATGAACATCGAAGATGATAACCGCAAACGTGCACTTCTGTTACACTATATTGGCTCGTCCGCATTCGATATATTCGAGACACTAACGGATACTGGTGGTCGCCACAACGCAACCTTGATTACGAAACCTACCTTTTTCGTCAAGCTCGCCAGAATGCCAATGAGACGTTGGACCAATTTGCTACTCGTTTGCGCCAATTGGCCTCAACATGCGAATTTACCTCCGTTGACAAAGAAATCAAATCACAGATCATCCTCAGCTGTTCCTCTTCTCGCCTTCGTCGACGTGCACTTCGTGAATCGTCCTTAACCCTCAAAGCACTCCTTGATCTCGGTCGTACAATGGAAATCTCAGAAAAACAGGCCTCGGGTATTGAATCGAACGCCATCTCGCCTGATGACGCTGAACTATTAAATTATACTCGCTCTTCTCAGCCTCCCCAAGCCCGTCAACAGTCTTATGCCCCTTCTCCCCGTTCCCGAGAGTTTTCTGCCCCGCCGTCCACGTGTGGTCATTGCGGTTTTGCATATCCCCATCCACAAGGTCAAGCCAGCTGTCCTGTGCGCGGTTCCCAGTGTCGTTCATGCGTCAGAGGCCTTTGCCGCTACACCCGTTTAAATTTTGGCACGTCCTCCGCTGCTGAAGTTTTTCAAAATGCAATCCAACAAACCCTCAGTGGCATCGAAGGTGTTCGCAACGTCAGCGATGACATCATCATTTTTGGCACCAAGCCGCTCATGATAAAGTTCTCCGTGCTTTTTTTGAACCAACAAGTGCGAATTCAACAAATCGCAACTCGAATTCTTTGGCTACATATTCTCTCGAAATGGCGTCTCCCCAGAACCCAAGAAAGTATCTGCCATAACCAATTCCAGTCCACCTACCACCGCTCACGAAGTTCGCAGTTTTCTTGGTATGACCAACTACTGCTCCCGGTTTATCCCAAATTATTCCACCATAACTGAACCCCTCCGTGCGCTTACCAAGTCGGATCAGCCCTGGGCGTGGAATCCCGAGCATCAACATGCGTTCGATCAACTGAAACATCTGCTTACCAGCGACACCGTTCTCTCCTACTTCGACCCTCACAAGCCGGTCACCATGATTTGCGATGCCAGTCCGGTTGGTCTCGGTGCTATTCTTTGCCAAGACAACCGTGTTGTTGCCTATGCCAGTCGCTCGCTCACCCCTGTAGAACAGCGATATTCTCAAACAGAACGAGAAGCTCTTGGCGTACTGTTTGCCTGTGAGCATTTTCACCTCTACATCTATGCGCGAAATTCTCCGTCATCACCGACCACAAACCTCTTGAACGCATTTTTACCAACCCCGCTGCCCGTTCTAACGCCCGCTTAGACCGTTGGGCCCTCAAACTTCAACCATACCACTTCACTATCTCCTATTCCCCTGGCAAAACTAACCCCGCTGATTATCTATCCCGTCATCCTTTCCCCACAACCAACCCCTCCACTGCATCCACTCAAGCTGAAGAATAGATTGCGTTCTTAGCACATACCACCCCAAAAGCTATGACTATTGATGAAGTCAAAGCCTCCACCCGTGCTGACCCTACTCTGCAAGCTGTTATCGAGGCCATCCGTAACAACTCCTGGCAATCCACCCCTGCCACTCCTGGGTCTCTTGTCAACGTTCAGGATTTCACCGCTTTCCACAAGATCCGGGACGAGCTCAGTGTTTCTGATGACCAGGATCTTCTTCTTTGGTCACACTGACTGGTACTCCCACATACCCTTCGCCAACGTGCCCTGAACATCGCCCATGAAGGTCATCAGGGCCTCACCAAAACAAAACAACTTCTTCGTGAAAAAATTTGGTTCCCGGGCATTGATGGTCTCACGAAAACGCTCCTTGACAATTGCCTCACCTGTCAAGCAACCGTCATTCAGCAGCCCCTTGAACCTCTCCGCATGACCGCGTTACCCCAAGCCCCGGCCTTGGCAACACCTCTCTGTAGATTTCTGTGGCCCTCTCCCATCTGGTGGTATGCTCTTTGTGGTAATCGATGAATACTCACGCTATCCGGAGGTTGAAATTGTACGCTCCACCGCTGCAAATACTGTCATCCCGAAACTTGACCGCATTTTATCTACGCATGGAATTCCAGCATCCATAAAATTGGACAATGGACCACCATTCCAATCTCATTCCTTCGCCGAATTCGCGCAATACATGGGTTTTCACCACCGAAAGATCACTCCAGAGTGGCCGAAAGCCAACTCCGAGTCGGAAATGCAGAAAACACTCCGCGCTGCGCACCTTGAAAATAAAAATTGGAAGCAGGAACTGTTTCTTTTCCTCCGCAACTACCGTGCGACACCACATTCCACCACCGGTGCTTCCCCGGCCGAGCTCCTGTTCGGTCGAAAACTGGTCGTCAAACTACCCAAACTGGTCTCGCAACCACCATCACGAGCTCACCTCGCATAGATAATAAGCATAGATAATATTTCATACTATTTCATAAACGTTAAGATTCTCGACGAACTTCCATTTAAAACAAGGGAGGGATGTAACGATCTGACGTCATGGTTTATGTGACGTCACTTGTATATAGTTGTATGCCACTTTATATTAAAATCATTATCATAGCAACCACTTACGAGAGCGTGTCTATTATTACCCTTCGCTAAAGATATTACAAGAATGATGAAATAAAAATCGTATTTTACTGTGTAAATTTATTTCATGCTATTTGATTGGACGTACGATGTTTATCACGTGTGAAAAAATGCCATACACGGCTTTTGATTGGACGCCCGATATTCTTCACACGTGAAAAATTGTCGTATGTCATTTTGACGCAATTTGTTGACATTTGATTTCTTTCAAGATGGCCTCGAAATATAGGAGTGAGATTCAAAGCATAATTTTCATATTCAAGATATTTTCACATTAAGAACATGGTCTGCCTAAATATATGTAGTTGTATAACCACAACTGGATTGCATGTTGCATGCAGAACATAGTCCTAAAATTGTGATTTTTTTGAAAAAGGGTTTTTTTGCATGCACATGCAATAGCGTTGCAGTGGTTGTTGTTTTCCTTGCATTAATTATACATTTCTGTTTTTCCCCAGACGACAATAACACTCGCGTACTGTTCGAACGAGTCTTAAGCAATCTCCCTAAGGAAAAATCAAGGTACAATACTTTTTAATGATGAGTGGCGAAAATTTATAGGAGTCAGTCTGTCAGTCTGTCATAGTGTAAACGGGGTGTGAACTTGATATATGTTTATAGCGATTTTTTGTGCTTTATTGTATTTTTATCAAACAGAGAGCTAGGAAGAAACAACGCTGTGCTGTTTATGTACAGACATCCTTTACGTGCATGAATATAAAGTTTGATATTCTGCATGTATACATATTTAAATGAAGCCCGCGCATCCGACGCAGTACCGTAATCATTTTGGCGGTGTACATGCAGGCAGTACAGCATTATTATACAGAGATGAAAAGGACCGTAGCAATGTTATTTTGAAATTTTGAAACAATTTAGATGTTTATATTGACTAACGTGCAGGTATTACAGAATATTTATAAAGTCTATACATTATGAAACGGCTGCATGTATATAAAGCACTAGACCATGTCACCATGCATATAACATACACCGGTAAATTTTAACTAAGAATATTGTCTTTTATTGATTTTTATCTTATTACGATCGATTCACATATATATAACTAGAAGCATCGCATTATATGTATATAACATAAAATTGCGACCGCTTCGCATGAGCAACTAAAAATATACCTGAATATATATATACCTAATAGCAATATCGCGGCGAACATATAATATGAGTACTTTTGAGTATATGATTTCTCCAAGCTAGCCCTTAGTAAATTTGTCCAATCTACAATCTCAACTCTTTAATTCACATCTTTAACTATAATAGAACAAATATTTATTGAAAATATAATTCAACCCTGCTAGAGGAAGCATACATATTTTGCCATATTCGTGCATGTGTAGTGCTTATTGAGCAATTGTAATTTTAGCAACGAAACCAGCGTTTGATCACGCTTTTTCGAGGTTATGTTTAACCTGCATGCTTCTTTAGATTTTTATTGGCTGAAAGTCAAAATCTGTATTCTGTGACAGACGTCTGGTTGCCTAGGACTATAGGTATCGGGAGGGTACTGAAACTTTGCACTATCCTTGGATCCCTAATTTATTGTTTTCTCGTTGAAATTTCGGAGTAGTCTGCATAAAAACAGCGGAGCCGTTTTGGAATAAAAACAACTTGTCTGCTGTAACAACATGAAATCTTGTTCAAAGTTAGAGAGTATCGAAAACATTAAACATTTCTTGTAAAGCTTCTATATGAAAAGCTATATAGGTTTTCCCTGGGCAATTTCACCATTTGCTATCCCCCCAAAACATGTGTTTTTATCCCTCTGTTTCTCTGCATAAATTGTAGTGAAAATAACTATTTTGTTTGCCACCAATTTCCCACTATTTGTCAACTGGCAAAATGCATTTACCGAACATGCATGTAGCTAAAACACCTGGTTCTTTTGTAGCTAAGCAAATAGTTTGTAGGTGAAACAGTGGTTTCTTCATACATTACTCGGGATTGTTTAGAATTAACATTTTTCCCTGCTATAGTGAAATTTATACCAAGTTTTTGGACTTCGAAGCAAATTGTGGTGATCTCACGAGTTATATGAAAGTTGAGAAAAGAAAGTTGTCCATGTTTAACGAGGTACAACTTCCTCAAAGCATATATATTTTCTTATATAGGCCTATAAGGTCAACTCGATCACTTCAATCGTATGTCAGTCTGTATGTGTTCATCGTATTGTATGTTTTTTATACGTAGGAACTTGAATCCAGGGAAACTGTGCTGCTGGTCGATCGTTATAAATATTTAGATCTATTTCCGTGTTCAAAAACTGAATTAGCAGTTATTGGTTATAATGTAAGTTCTGTTCGCATTTGTTTTCTTTAATATAATACAGCTAAAGCTGTACGGTGTATTCAAAAGTTAGTAAAAAGACTAAATATCTCTGCATTTGCAAATTCAGAGCAACTTTTTGTTATAATTAAAGCGATATTCTAAGCGAACCATCATCTGACCATCCACCACTCAAAATGATTTTTAACATTGAAATTTCGCGTGCCAGCTAATTTATATTTGGACAAGACACACACCCCTCAGTCTCTTGCTGTCAAAAATTTTGACATTTATAAAAAAAATTATTTACACCATTTAAAATAGTTTTATTCACACCCCTATATTTGCCGTCCTGAAATATGAATAAACAACACCCCCCCCCCCCAATTATTATTCTTTCATCGGCCCAAAATTGATTTTCACTTTTTTCACCAGGCACAAGAAGTTGTCGTGTCAAATCAGGCAACAGCATACTTTCAAAACAAGGAGCTGTTACCGGATGAAGCAATCACGTTAGGCTCGAAATATCCCATGCCAGATTTGAAACAAATGATGCCGTTTAAACCCGTACCTCGAGGAACTCGTGAGTGTTTACGATGTTAACCGACTTCTCGTAACTTGTATCATTAGAATATAAGAGTATAACTGTGCACGTGTTGACTAAATTGGCCTCAAAAAAAAAAAAAAAAATATATATATAATATATATATATTATATATATATATATTATATATATATATATATATATATATATATATATATATATATATATTACATGCTCGAAACTGTCATGCTTTACTGGACTTATTTTAGTCTTGAAAAAAATCAGCCTAAAGTGTCGTATATTCTCTATCACTTCTAAACTGTTCTCTTATCACCATTGGTTTGATCCCAGGTTTTTTACCGCCCCAAGAAAATCAAACCGCCCCATTCTCTGTGTAGGTATATTAGTTCTGCTTTTAACAGTTCTTGAAACCAACATCGTACCCCATGCAAGGCCTTTTCAGCTCGATTTCAAATACGCTGTGACGGAACGAAGTTATGCCCCCCCCCCCTGAAAATTCGCTTTCATTAATCAATATAGCCGGAGTCCATCACCTTCCTGGGGGTGTGTTTCCAGTTCCCCCTGCCGCCGCTCATCTTATTTCTCTGATGCCGCCGCCAGTGTGCTTCCAGGTATGTCAGTCGATTCATTTTCGAGAGAATATAGCTAGACTAGAAGACTATGTAGTTGTCTACGGTTTTTCTTTTGTATGGTAGTTAACTGCAGGAAAGTATTTGAGTATGAAAGATCAGTTATAGTAATGTTAGCTCGCCTAACGCACGGCAGACAGGCATGAAGGATCAGCAGGAACGCCGGAACAGGGGGTAGCAAGGGCAGCTTCCTCCTTGCTCTTTACAAGAGGGGGCAAGTGGCCAAAGACGCCTCTCATTTTAAGCGATTACATTCTATATCTTGAATGCAAACATGGGGCTTTAGAGATAGCACAACGTATATATGCATATTTAAATTATGAGCGCTGAGTGAGGATAACGTATTCTAGCTCCCCACAGTAAAACGTATGCATATTAAAATTGTGAGAACTCTGCCTCATCGGTTAACGCATTTTGTTCCAGGGCCCGTTTGTCATGGTTGATGAACTTTTGAAAATGATAGCAGATTGCCATCTCCAAAAGCCACAGACCACAAGTAAGCCCTGAAGCAGAATCATTGCAATCAATTGTCATTGCAATCATATTTTCTTCTCCATGCACCCGGCCTACCCTACCGCCTCAACCCAACCCCCCAACCCGCTGCCTCCAAAGGAGAAGTATACATAATAAGACAAATCATCAATTTTAGGTCTACCAGAAGGCAGTGTCAACGGTGGTGTGAAAGAGGAAGGCACAACAAAAGACAGCGACGCGAGAGGAAAGAAGCGCCCACTGAACGCGAACAGCAATGACAATGATAGCGACGATGACGAGAAACGCGTTGCCCCGCCTGTCAACGATATTTACCGTCTTAGACAACAAAAAAGAGTTGCTTTCTAGTTTGCAAGAGAGCAAAGTTTGCATTTCGAAGCCAAAAAATATTCCTTCTCGGTGTTGGTTGAAAAACTACAGTTTTGAAACTGATCTGAAAGTGTAACTAACACTTGGTTTCATCATAGACAGTCCGGGATCAGTTGCAAACTAAAACGGGAAACTCGGGGCTAATATAGCTCCGGCAACACCCGAGGCCTTTTGTCTCCAATCTTGTATAATTTCCCATTGAATGTATTTTAAAAAAAATCGTATTTAAATAAAAAAGAAAAAAATGTTTTCAACGAAAGCTAGCTTGCGTGCATGCATTCTTTTCGAAAACGCACCGTCATTGCGGTAAGCATGGTCATAAATTTCATACGCGTGAATGATGTACGTAACCTTGCAAATTTAGGACAGCTTCCAAATTTCGGTTCAGAATGAAAACGAATTTGCTAAGATATTATTCATAAATCGTCATTGGGAAATAGTCCAGATGTAAATTTGTCTGTTATTTCTGTATTCAAACCTGTCATTGTTGACTGCACATGCACATGCAAATATAGAAATATTCTAGTATTCTATCACATCAGTCACCTTGACATGTTCACGACAGTTACGAATGGAAACGAGGCATTAGAAATTGATTGTTTTACAGTTGGGGCACACCAGAATATTAGCATGGGGTGACTAAAGCTCCGTTTACACTGTATACGGTCAATTTATCGGCACGGCCAGGCTAAAATTAGTACCTGTACCCAATTAACTAGCGTTCACGCTATCAAAACAAAGCCCGAGCACAGATGAAATGGGCACGGGTACCCATTTTACCCGTGCCGTGCCATTAAATCGAGTGTAGTGTAAACGGGGCTTGATACCCGTGCCCATTCATCTGTGCCCGGCCTTTGTTTTGGTACTGAGCACTGTATTTTATTAGTGCTTGGGCTGCCAGAACTAGGCACTGGCCGCATTTTAGCCGTGCCGTGCCAATAAATCGAGTGTAGTGTAAACGGGGCTTAAATCGTCGGACTGGCTATACCACGGGCACTCGTTTCGCTTTAGCAAGAATAATGTGTTTCTTGAAAGCCATTTCGAACCAGTTAAAGTTTGCAGAATAATTGTGTGTCTTTCGATAGATTTTGAATTGTTGACAAAAATTCCGTTGTGATACTACCATATCTTGAGAGTTTAACTGCATTTCATGCAGCAGGCAGAAAGCAAACAAATGTATGGCACCGCGGCACATGCAAGTCTAATTATTTATTCGATTTTTATGCCTCGCGACACATGTTAACCTTAACCTAGCCCACGTACGTTAGATTCAGGGCCGAAACTAGAGCGATTATTGGGGACGATGTTCATAATAATATATTTTCTGTTCTGTCCCACAGATTTATTTTGAAAACGCGTAAAATAAAACCGTCGGCCAGAACGAATATATGAACGTGCATGCACCAAAGAAATTATCACATCTAGTCTCTGGTATAGCTCGGGGTTTAACAGATCATAAAACAAAGAAGTTACCACAAAAAAGCATCATTCTGAATCAACTTCAAAACAACTTACTCATTTAATGAGAATTCATCTGCATACATGATGTAACATAAACCACCTGGTTAGTGTTATATCCCCGACTAATATACGTCATTGCTATAAATACACTAATATAAGTAAACGTATCTTCAATAGCCGCATGTCTACGACAGGGCAGCTTTGCTCGAAACAGGGCTTTGCCCAAAAAATATCTGTCAATTACACATTCAAGCTATATGCTAAAAATGGAAGGACTGGTTCCATGGGAGCTTCCCAAGACATGCTTACTCAAATTATCATTTATCTTAAATAAGTAATCTACTTCTAAGTTCAGTTTTTATTATAAAGTTTTCTTGAAAACAGCGGCCATGTTGAATTCACAACTGAACGATAAATACTTGTCAAGACAGTGCATATTCCATAGCCTGGGTCCATTTTAATAAACTTTTCTTGCACTAAAAACAGCATACTTGGTCTAAAATGAAAGAAGAATACATATATACAAAGAAACTTAGGCCGGAACGGCAAATATAGTATAGGCCTACTCTTTTATTTTCTAATATTCATTGTTTATGACACACCGGAGTGTTTTCGCCGCTTAAACGTGAAAAATTTTGAGGGTGCAAACTTGGACGACTTCTTTTTTTTGCTAATCTTTATTGCCATACAAAAATTATATCATTTAATGTGGTATTTTATATACAGCAGTCTGTAAAAATTGCATTCGAATTTTTTTTCACACCCCTTGTATATACCACCATTAAAACTATATAACTGTAGCTATAGGCAGAACTATAGAACACTACGTTTCTTGCAAATTGTTATTTCCTCGATCGGAAATCGCCGAAATGAAGACAGTTTGTCTTCTGAAAAACAAAATAGCTGGAATTTTCGCATGGTCTTCGAGGTGCTCATATCAACATATACAAACGCATAGGAACAAACGGCTTAAAGCGTCTTAGAAGTTGCATACAGCTAAGTGTTTATTTTTGTTACTTACTAAATAGCGACAAGGAGTGAACTACGTAGGAGGATCTTGATGACTTGTCAAATATATATCTACCACGCGATTTAATCAGCATGAATAGTATATTTAGAACTTAGGAAAACGGAGGTAAGATGGTTATATAAACTTTTAACTTGAAGATCGTGAATTTCTAGTATTGCGTGGTTACCCTATCAGGAATCAGTTGTACGGATGATGTTTGGCCATAAATTTGTAAAAATTACTCTATGTAATTTACCCTTGTTAACATTCTAGATTATATGTTCCCAATATTTGCACACCCCCCCCCTGCGCCCTCCTACCTCCAAGAATGAGTAGGTTTAGGCCCAAGATCAACGAAATATAACATGACGTCATCGTAAACTTCTTTACTTTTCTCAAAGTGATAAGTTATTTATATATTTGCCCACACACGTCGACGTAACCCGAAGTATATTTTACTTGATACCATATTTTTTGGCCGGTTCATGTGCGCATCTCAAAGGCTGTTGCGGTGTCTCTGTATGCATGATAATGAATTTTACTTTCAGCGTTGCGATTTTGCCTGAAGATACATGCATCACGCAGGCTTGTATACCATTCGAAAAACCCTCGACTTTCAAGCACAGCGTTTACCTCAAATCTACATCAATACTATTATACTACGCTTTAAAGATTATATGTTTTAATCCTATTTAGCGTCCTTGATTGTCGGTATAAATAAGCCGCTTTTCGTTATGTCAACGATGCATGGGACGCGCATAAAACGCACAAGACGCGAAGCACCTTTTTAAAATCTTACAGGATGTTATACGACTAAATAGCATATTGAAAGTAAAAATGAACTCATCGTTATATAAAAGCCCTTTACGATGGTTGTTCTCGATCGATCTAGGAGTTAGCGTTGAATATAACGATATAATGCAGTTACAGTTGCCGATAGTGGAATAAAACCATATTGAATCTGTGGGGGCAAATTTAAAACTTGCATGCGTGGGCACCGAAAGCCAACGCGTATATTCATCATATTAACGTAGTGTAAAAAAATTGAAAAATGTGTATCGTTAAGGAATTTAAAATGCATGTCCGTCGATGTTGCATGATAGAAACATTCCTTTTGTGTATGCATATATGTAGAACGTGAATGCTCGCCAGGCTGCTTTTGCAGATTTTATCTAGCCCAGCCAAGCAATCAGCCCTAATCCAGTTAATATGATTGGCTAATCAAGATGATAAAAAACATTGAAGTTTGAATAGAAAATGTTTTTACTACCTTAGACTTAGTTAATTGGTAATGATACTCGAAGGATGTAAGAATTATACATTGGTGAGAATGTTGTGTGCTCGTGCATAAAGTTTTATTAAATTTTTACTGAGGTCGTTCATAATTCATATCCTGAGTCTCCCAACGGCATTTGTTTGTTTTACCCTTTTTTCTGCTTTTCTTGGCGGAAGAGCTTATAAAAACACATCCTTGTTGTCTCATTAACGTCCTACGCATTATATTTACAACGTTTTTGAAAATCATGCAAACGTTAACTTAACGGGGTTTTCAAAACATATTATAGGAGCAACTTCTATAGAACAGCGATTTCCTGACTCATATCATGATGTTGATGATATTTGATGAGGAATTTATTCAGAAACACACTAACCTAGTCTTTTCACTTTCCAGGAGGTTAACCGGTTAAATAATGTCTAAATCTACCTATTATACTAATCGATTAGGCCTTTGATTGGTTCATCTCATGTAAACGTATCGCATATGATTGGTTCATGTTCCCTGAATCATAGGTGTATAGTGGTCGTGGAGGAAATCTGAAGCTGTTATTACGAAACAAATATAACAAGATGTCACCAAATGCCTTAGTTCCTCGGGTATATAAGTCTATATAATGTCTTGATTCCATATTCTGGCCTGTTGTAAATGAAACGTTTCTCTTGAATGAAAAAGAAAACGGGAGAGCAATTTGCCATCTATCTGAAATTCGCAAAAAGACACCAAGCACGAAAATAGTATTGACAATTGACTGTATACAATCTTAAGAATAGGTAGTTTCACTTTGCGGGCGAACTTTCCGATTTCATTTAAAATCTTTTTCGCTTTATTTATCCAAGAATGAACTGCATTTATACCTTTTAAAATAGCATGCATAAACATTTCCCCTTTCCTATTGCGAAAAATTCCCTTCGTTTGGTCAGTGGTGTTTGCTGTTTGACGTATACGAACGTCAAGCCTTTTTTGACGTAAATCGTTAACGACGTTAACGACGTGCTCCAATTTTAACTCGCTTAAGCTAATATGTCAACAGTTGCTTATAAAAAACATATGATTACGACAAATTTTACGTTAAAATTTAACTTCCATGCAAAGAGGATGCATCTTAAATATCGATATGCAGTTTGGCTTTTGAAATTTCAATCTTAGGATACTAGATAGAAATAAAACTTGATAGATGATACGTCCGAATGTTTAGATAATACACCTATAATTGAGCTGGTCCTTATAACTTTTCTTTCTGCCGAGAGAAACAGGAAACGAAGTAAATTAACCTAAGGCAATCTAGTGAGTCGTGCTTTTTCCGACATGCGCGCCGGTGAACACAACTAGATTATCAAAAACCAAACATCGATGATAAAGGTTTTGCCAAAAGCAAAAATATTTGAATTGATTGAACGTGAATAACGTAAATTTCGTTCATACTTCAATGGAATTTCATTTTACTGCTTTTAAAAGTCAGCGGATAGAAAGTTCGTCATATATCTGGCTAATGAATTAGTATTGAATTGCACAGACAATGAAGGTTTGCGAGATCTTTTGAAGACTTTGCACTCATGTAATAAGCAGAGATATCGATTATCGATACAAGTGTTCCGCCGACAGCCGGTAATTTTTGGTGAGCAAAAGGATTTCAAGTTTTAATGGCA